CCCAAATCACTCTTGGAACCCGAATGCAGCTTCGCTAAGTGTACCTGGAAGTATAATGAAAATTTTCAAAGAACATGCCAACACTGAAGGAAAACAAAACAGAAATCCCAACCCAACCTAAGGAAATTTTGGCAGTTGATGGCTGGTAGGAAAGGGAGACAGTGTCTTAAAGGGATGGGACACTTGGTGGACCCAGTGAATGTCACACTGATAGACATTTGGGGACATAAATCAGGCTTTATGGGCTGTATTATATATATATATGAGCACAGTGGATGGCCCCACACTGAAGGACATTTGGGGACACAAATCAGACTCTATAGGTCATGTATGAGAGAGAAAGAGTACATTAAGTTGGGGAGGGGCAGTAGAGGAGGGATATTTCATACAATACCATCAAACTATATTGTATGAAAATAGCAAAAATTCAATAAAAAAATAAAATTTAGGAACTGGAGAGATGGCTCAGTGTTTAAGAGCACTGGCTATTCTTGCAGAAGACCAAGGTTCAAATCCTAACATCCACATGGTGGCTAACAATCACCTGCAACTATAGTTCCAGGGGATCTGATGACCTCTTCTGTCCTCCTCAGGTATTACATGACACGGGTGTACTGACACACATGTAGGCATTAACACTCATACACATAAAATAAAAATAAGTTATCAAAAATTTTTTACATAAAATAAAATTTAATAAATAAAATTTGTTGACTTTGCTAAAAAAAAAAACTTCAGAGTAAGAGAATCAAGTAAGGCGAAGACCACGTGCAAAGGCCAGAGAGAGAGCTGCCCAGCCGAGATTTCAATATTTCAATCATCTCCCTGCTCCACTACACAATACTCTTGTCATAGGCTTCAGGGGAGTATACTCTCACAAGCACCACCACCGACAGTGACAGGTTAACTGGCTAACAGCAGCTACCAACTGAATACCTCTCCTTCGGATAGACAAAGGTGATATCCTGACCCCCAAGGTAACTCTAAGGACCTGGGAGGTCAGAGATCATGTGCATGGAGTCCTTATAATTGGGATTAGCGCTTTTATAAGACAGGTTTCAAAGATAGCTTTTACCCTGAGCATACCTGAAGCCTGCAGTCTGCAGCTGGGGAGAGGAACCAGGACCTCATCTCGGCTCTGCGGCTTATGAATCTAGAAGCACTGCTAACTTGAGTATAGAAACTATACTCATGGAGTCATTGGATCATCAACCTGAAGATCAAACATTTTGGTGTGCACAAGCAGCACATGTGAACTTGTGAGAAGTGGATTCTGGCATCACATTCCCAGAGAGTCTGTCTCAACAGATCTGCCATGGGGCCCTAGCATCTGTATTCGAACAGGACCCCTCTTCTCTCCACAAACACCAGATGATTTCATTACAGCATCAAACATTTACTGACCACATATTCACTGCCAAGTTCAGCACACATGATCATGAAAGAGACCCAAATGATCTTTAAGTAGAATACAGCACCCATAATCTTCAATATACCTTCTTGGCACTGGCAGACGCTGGCTGTTTGGGGAGTACAGAAAATTCTAGGTTAGGAAAAGGGTCATGAAGGAAAATGACATTTGACCTGAGTCTCAAAAAAAAAAAGACCCTCAAAACCCATTCAAGCAAAGAAAGTGAAGACAGGAGGCTGAAGACAGAGCAGCCCACATATAGTCACACCCGCCAACCACGCTCACCCCACGTACTTCCAAGCTCTACCTCTGGGTCAGGTTTTGTAGCCATATTTATCTGCCATGTGTCTTGATGGACAAGATGCACATGTTCATGTTCGTTGACCTATATTCAACAGCTCATGGGAGGATTGATAAAAGACAAGGCCAGAAAACTACAGCCAGGTCCAGCTTTTAAAAACACTCACCATGAAGTAGATGCTTAAGACATTTCTACTTCTTCCCACAGTGCCACCATCATTCCCTGGGTACTGGTTAGGAAGGGTGAGCACTTGCCAGCCAGCATTCAGCAATAAGCTGATCTCTCAGTCAGGGAAGGTGGCAAAAATCACTGGCATAGTGAAACCCAGGCTCCAAGGAAAGAAAGGGATTGATTAAAAGTGTCTGATTATGGAAAACCAATTTTCCCATTGGCTTTAACCTCATTTCATATTGATGTGCTTTCAGAATAAAATTGGAAGACTTCCTTGTCTAAGGTTGTATCATTTCACTTAATTAGGTAACCTAATTAACTTTAAAAATCTACAACTTGCTTTAAGAAAGAAAAGTGAATTCAAGAATAGATAACAAATAAAGGAGAAGTTAAAGGCTGAGACCCTGCCTTTGCATAGCTTTAACTAGAAAAATGTGTTTAGCATCACTCCAATGCAGGGAGTTCACAGCCACTATGACCAACTCCATTATATCTCTAGTCCAAACCAGGCACATCCTCCTGGAATGCATGCTAAGTACCCTGCCCCACCATGGCCTGTCCCTGTTCACCTCATTGTTACGTCCAGTCCTAGTTACCACCTTAAATAATGTTTACCTGCCAGTCAGGTTTCACATCTTCAATGAGCTTATTTTGTATTTCTCAAGGAGCACAGTTTAATTTCTTGACAAATAAAAGACACTCAGATGCTTGATGAGTGAGAAGAACCATATTTAGCTTTTCTGGGTTCAACTGTCATTCCTTCTTTTATTCCCAAAATGAAGATGGAGCTTTTGATAATAGGGGACAGTGAAAGCAGGTTATCAAAAGGGGTCCTATCCTGAGCTGCTTTGGAAATCTCAGCAACTGCTGAAAGGTCTCGGAAACACAAAGGAAGGCTGAGAGGCCCATGCCTGTGCTTGCTTGCTTAGTGAACCCCCCACAAGCATCCTGGGAAACCTGTGATTGGTGAAAAAGAGAAAGAGGTAACAAGTAGTTACGGCTGGTTCAGTCTAGTTTTCTTTTAAAGTTCAAATAGAGAGATTAATTACAGAACTCTGTTACCTGAATAACACATATCATACATTTATTCAGAAATACTATTCTCTATATTATAATAATAACTAACATTTTTAAAGATATTCTGTTGTGTCATGCACTGTATAAGCACTTTTGCCACATCCTTTAATTAAACCCTCATAACACTGTAGATAAAGAAAATACTACAATAGCTTCATTATCAGATATGAACAAGCTAGACAGGATAAGTAAGAACTTACTCTAAAGTAATAAAAGTCAGTCCCAGGTCTCTGATGTCAATGTCCAAAGTATACCACTTCTTGTAATGACAAAACAAGGTTCTCAATATTACAAAAATAGAATTAACCCACCTTAAAGTACTAACTTGTGGAGGACACTTGTTCAAGTCTTTTCTATGCCACTTATAAATAAAAGAGTTTGGAACAACTCAAATAAAACACTAACCATCAGTACTTGACAGCTGGTTCTCCTTCAAGATTTTTTTTCCTATTTTAAACTTTTAAAAAATTACCAGAAAATAACCCCTGGAGAAGTGGGTCTCCAGGGCCTGGATAACCAGGGCACTTCCGGATTCCCAGCATCATCCCCACATCAAATAAGTTCGAAGAGGTGGTACATGGACCACAAACAGGCAGTCCCCATCACCCAAAAATGCTATAGGACATTCAGATTTGATTTAAAGTCCTTGTCTCCGGGCCCTGTGCACTCCAGACACGCGGGGAGCGGGATGTTGAGCAGATGGCAGAACTCTACAAAATGCTCTTCCTCTAGAATTTCTGGCTACTCCTTGTAGGGGTGTGTGTGTGTGTGTGTGTGTGTCAGGAACCTCCTTCCAGCATCCACATCAGCTTCCCAGAAAAGCAAAAGTGTCTAGAAATTGCCAGGAAGGGCGGCGCAGCTTCTGCCCTGTTGACAGAAGAAAATCTGTGGCAACACTAAAGGCAGTGTCCCCCAATAAAGCCAGGGTCTGCGTTCGCTGTCAGGATCATCACCACCATTTCCACAGCCTGCGGTCAGTCTCAGGACTCCAAGCCTAGCTAAAGCTATCCCCCATCCCAAAGAACATAGATAAGGGTGGGCGTGGGGGGCTGCAGCTTGAATGTCCAAAGAATTTATTTCTTTGGTTTTAGAGTCAGTTTGTGAAAATGCAAAAATCAGGGTTGAAGATACTCAAACTTCAGGGCTTGTTTGCGTTCAGATTACCAGTGTTTTTTAGTCCTTTAAGGCAAGTTTTCCTGAGGAAAAGCTAAGGCGTATCTGAAGGCATTAAAAACAATTTCAGGCAGGAACTGGGTAAATGCGGAGCTTTCCACCGAGCGAGGTGGAAATGTTCAAATAAGGGGATGGGCTCCTGGGTAGATACAGTGACATGAATTCTTTCCCTGGTTTTGCCATTGCAATCTAATACAGCCACCCATCTCCTCCTTCCAAACTGGAACACGCAGCTATAAGTGAGCATCAGGGAAGCTTCCAAGCCCGCAGACCTCGGTCAGAGCGAGGCTAAAGGAGAGTTTGCTGCTGCACTACCTGCGTGTGCATGCCAACAGGCGCAAAATCGTGACTGCTCAGCCCTCGCGGAAGGGGGAGGCTCTCTGCTAGGAGGGCCGAACCTGGCACCGCTACAGGCCCAGGCAAGCGTCCCGGAAGGGTGGAGGGTGAGCAAGTTGGAAGTCTCCAGGAAGTGTGTGGGGAGGAAGCTGCGAGCAAGAGCCGACCACAGCGAGCGGCTTGGCACCGCCAGAGCCCAGGGAGTCCCAGGCCACTGCGCGCAGCAGTCACGCGCGCTCCTGGAGTGGGCGTAGAAAGCGCTCAGAGAGTGGGCGGCGGCCGGGGTTCCCGGAGCTGAGTCACATCAGCCAACTTTACAGCATTTCCCAGAAAGAAAACAAACAGCCCCAGAGCCCACCACCCGCCTCTCAGTCCGTCTCCCACTCTGCGCGGCTTTACCCGAGGGGGACTCGAACCCCACCACTGCGGTGTCCCCACTCATCACGCAACTTCTCACCCGCGCAAAGCCTCGTGGTACCCGGAGCGCCAGCCAAGCGATCCGAGGGGAGGGAAGCGGCCTCGCGTCCTCACCTGCAGGACACCGACACTTCCACGCGCGTGGCGGGGATGGCTGCGCTCAGCTGGTTCAAGTCCCCGATGCCCGCAGTGCTGGTGTAGCGGCTGTCCATCTCGGGTCCCGCGCACACACCCAGAGCCCGGAGACTGAGCGCAGCCCGAACCTCGCTGCTCACCGACTCACCGACAGGATGGGGCGAGGGCGGAGGCGGAGGCAGGAGGCGGAGGCGGCGCGGGAAGGGGCGGGGAGGGAGAAGGCAGACTTCGGAGGATCCACGGAGCCTGTCCCCGCGGTGCGGGTGGAGCGCAGGGCGGCTCAGTCCGGCCCGGACACCGTGCGCCCGCGGGCTGGCTGCCGGCGTGGGGCGCAGCCCGGGGATGCCGGGCACACCCTCCGGTCCAGCGGGCGCGGGGCTGGGTGTCTCCGCCCCCGCAACGCCCGGCGGCGCGTCCGTCTACTGTCAATCACTAGTCTGCCTCTCCCCGTGGGAAGCTGGAGACATGGGCACCGCGGCGGCTGCCTCCGGGCGCGAAGACACCCCTCCCTGCCGCGCAGGTCCTTGCCCACCGAGCCGTCCTCTGCCACCCGTTCCCGCCTCTGGGCTGCCCACTTGGGGTGATCCGACTCGGGACCACAGCCAACCTTTGACACCCCCGAGGCAAAGTGACAGGCCAATGAGGGGCGAGCGGGGGCGCAGGGACTCCACGGTGGGGACCCTCTGCGGTTTCAGGGAGGCATCTACACCGCCCCTCCCCTCTCCAGGAGCCCGGGATCTAAGGAGACGGTGCTACTTTAGTCGGGGCTGGGCTGCTACCCTCCGTTCCCCCTGGGTGACATTTCTACCCTGTAGCCAGGAGGTCACAACCTTATAACGCAGCTGCTGCGCCCCGGGTCTCACCGCAGCACTGGAAAGGGGACGGGTGTAAAGCAGAGCGCAGCCCCAGAGACTGGGGATCCAGGGCAGCACGATGGGGAGGAGGCGGGGCCTGAGCCACCCCCAGCTGCACGCTGGGGTGGCCCTGCACCCCTACTTTGCAGCGACCTTTGCACTGCGCACACCCGCCCCCACCCCCTTGTCGCTGTGGGGGGCGGGGGAGCTGGCGGTGGCCACCGGGGGGCGACGTGGAGCAGAGCTCCGAGCAGTGGGTTACAGAAGGGTGAGCCTAGGCTCATCTCCAAGAGCACTCTGGAGCTTTCGACCTCCCTTGTGACATTTTCATCCACTTGGAGACACGTCCCTAAGACTCCAAAGCGGTCCAGGAATCAGTGCTACGGGCGCTTGCCTGGTGCCAGTCCGGCTTCCAATAGGTCTCGTTTTCTTTCCCTGATTTTCCCACCCTCCACTCATCGCCCTAGTTTTCATGCCGCCTCCCTGTTGCAAATTAAACTGCAGTTAACGACTAAAACTTCCCCAGGCGTTTCTATTCTGCTTCCCGAGATTAATTTGCGGAAAGAACTCTAGAGCAATTTTTTTAAGCTGACCAGAATCTTATTTTATAGATGAGGAAGAAATAAATGTTGAGAAGTTCACCTTTACGCATATTTAAAGTGTGTTCTAGGGTCGATTTTGATGTGACTCAAGGCTCCTGAAGTTATCACCAAAAATAAAATGAGCTAGTTCCTCGCGATTTCTCGTGTTCCTTCTGTAATCAGAACATTTCACCACTGAAAACGACCCTTCAGGCATCCAGTGATACTTTTTAATGTCGCCATAGGGTAGTTTGCATTTTCTTTAATGATATGTGGAATCAGGCAACATGTTCCATTTTTTAAGGGTTCTAGTTGACTTTTATTATCCTTAAATTCGTGTCATTGGCTTTCACCAGTATTCTGGACATTTTGATAATTTAAATGCCATTTTAATGTTTGCACAGGGGATTAGTTTTTAAAACATCATTTGACTAATCTGGCTTCTTTCACTCTGTAAAATTCTTTCCAGATTTATCCATGATGTTGGACACATCAGTAGTGAACGTCATTCCATTTTAGAGATATGCCACAAATTGGTCACTTTGATTTCATTGTTTCCAGTTTGCGGATGTTACAAGTGAAACTGCTGTTTCACTAGTGTACAAATCTTTTTGTGGACATATGCTTTCATTACCTTTGGAGGGTTTTAAAATCAAACTTCTACTTTTTGAATATCAACATCAATTTTTTCCAGCTCCACCTGTTAAAAAGACCCACCTTGATTCATTGGAATGTCTTTATAACCTTCATCAAAAATCAACTTACAAAATGCGTATGAGTTCACTTTTTAACGTGTCATTTCTGATGCATTGTCTTTCTTTAAATCAATACCAGAGTATTGATTACTGTAGCTATAGAATAAATGTTTTAAATCCTGTTCTCTTTTCAAATTGTTTTGCCATTTTAAATTCTTTGCATGTTCATGTAGATTTTAGATTTATCTTAACAATGTCTACAAAACTCTTACTGAGATTTTAATTGAGATTTTATTCATCCTGCAGACTAGTTAAAGAGGAACTGATTACAGTTCATCTTCTGACTCAGGAAAGCCTCACATCTTGCCATACATGTTGGCCTTCCTTAGTATCTGTCAACAATATTGAACTGCTGATCCTAAGGGAGCGATTCAGAGAAACACCACACCAGTCATTCAGTAAACACTACCTGAATGTCTCCTAGTAACGGACTCTGTACTAGATCTGAAAGATGCAGCGTCAAAGTCAGTAGAAGGTAAGCACCAAGTAGGAATTTTATACATTCATTCCGTTCCTGTCATGTCTCAGATTTTGCCACTTCACCAAAGTAGAGACCTCAATTTGTAAGTGAAATTATCATTACCCATCATTCCAGAAGCATTTATTTACAAAATAGGATAAGAAGAAGCTAAGAAGAAAAAGATACAGTAAGACCAAATCCAACGAACAAACGAAAAGTAAAAACAAACAAAAAAAAGAACATGCTTTGAGCGACCAGCTCTTCCTGAAAGAGCTCATCTTCATTACCGGAGGCCAGATTTCATCACAGTGCCTGGCAAGTTCTGCTTCAACTCAGACAGGGAAAAAAAAAAAAAAAAAGTGAACTGTGCCTTTCTTCTGACTGCAGCTCCAAGCACTGAATATTCGCCTCAACAGCTACTCAACTCTAAGGTGAGTCAGAACCTCCAGCCTTGGTACACACTCAACTTGAAACTCTCCTTAGAAAATTGAAGAATAATATGATGCTGTCATCACTCAACCTCTGTGGGCAGTTGTTTAGTCAGTAACCACTTAGCCTGCTTTAAGAAGGCACAGTTTAGAATAAACTCACAAGAGCAAAAAATTAGCTGCTGACTGCTGGAAAGCATGAGGCAGAAGCCACTGTGACTGGGTGAACAACTTGTGCTCTCTGTGGATATGGTATCCAGCACTCAGGAGGCAGAAGCCGGTAGAGCTTTGTGACTTCAGGGCTAGCCTGGCCTATATAGAGAGCTCCAGGCCAGCTAGAGCTACATAGTCATACCCTGTCTCAAAATAACAGAAAAGAAAAATGTTCTCTCCAGGCCTGCCTTCTCTGATGAGAGTGCTGACCATTTGGCTCTGAGCCACAAAGTGGATCCAGTCGGCAAGTAACTCAGATAACTGACAGCCAGGCTCTCCAACACTTAGTTTGAAGTAACCTTTAGGATTGAAGATTACTGTCTCCTCAGTCTTATAAATCACCAACTTTCCAGTGGTTAAGATAATAAGATTGGGCTGGGGGTGATGGCCCATGCCTTTAATCCCAGCACTCAGGAGGCAGAGGCAGGCAGATCTCTGTGAGTTCAAGACCAGCCTGGTCTACATACTGAGCTCCAGGACAGCTGGGGCTACAGGGAGACCTGTCTCAAAAAGATTAAAAAAAAAAAGAAAAGAAAGATAATAAGATTATCCCTTTGAAAAAATCTATTCTAAAATATTACAAATAGTAGCACAATTAAAATACATCATGAATAAATATTTGGAAGAATTGAATCCAATATTGTAATCAAGTAACACCTTTCTGGAGGAAGTATGCATGGATAGGTAGGCCTGTGGTCAAGTAAATGTTTTTGCTTTTGTCTTCTGTTTGGTGAGTGAGTTTTACACTCAAAGAAACACTTGAAATGCAAAATTCTTTCATTTCAGAATTTCATACTTTCATTTATGCATATGAAGAAACATAATTCACATGATGTTGAAGATCTTGGGTTGGTGTGGATAGTAAATGGGTAAGACCGAGTCATTTGGCTCAGAGGATAGGCTCCTTGGTAAGGAAACAGCTTGATGTGTTTGCACTCTGAGGAGACGAAGAAAGCTATCCAACTGGTCTGTTACTGTACTAACTGGATCTTTTTAATAGTATCTCAGCTATCTATTACTATGTAACAAGCCAGTCTGAAACCCAATCACAAAAAAGGAATGGCTTATTTTTCAGGATCCTTTGAGTCAGTTTGGCTAGAGCTGGGTCAGGCTGCTTTTCTGCTCCATGTGGGAAAGGATGGGGTCACACTCCTGATAGTCTTCAGCTCCAGGCTGCACTGGAAAGGCCACTTCTCCTCCTGCTGCTCTGTGATTCTTTCTCCTCACTAGGACGAGACATCCCCCCCCCCAACCCAGTCTAGGCTGGCTTTCCCCTAGCAAAAGTGGAAGCTGCCAGGTGTTCCCAGGGTCCCAGAGCAGTGCCACAGCCAAAGCCACAGGCAGGAGGAGGGCATGTGGCTAAGCTGACTTGGAGGGGAGAGGTGCATGAGCATTTTACTGGGAAAGAACTGAGGGCCAGCATCTTTGTGAAATGAATAGAAATAATTCAGTGATGTTCAATAAATATTAAAATTAAGCATATACCAGAAAGAAACTCAATGAAGGTATAACTGTGGAAATGCACAGCTATATCAAGAATGTAAACAGAAATAAAAATGACAGGATTCAATACTCATCTTTCGTTAATAACTTTAAATATTAACAGACTGAACTCCCCAGTCAAAAGACACAGACTAGGTGAATGGATTAAGAAACAAAACCCATCTTTTTGTTGTCTGCAAGAAACTCATCTCGCACTTTCAAAAATAGGCACTATCTTAAGGTGAAAAGATAGACAAAAATATACCAAGCAAATGGTACTAAGAAAAAAGCAAGCATTGCAATTCTAATATCTGACAAACTAGACATAAACTAAAACTAATCAGAAGAGATAAAGAGAGCCACTTCATTCGGATCAAAGGAACAATAAACCAAGAAGCTGTTACAATCATGAATATGTATTCACCAAACTCTGGTGCACCCAACTTCATAAAAACAATACTACAAGACTTTAAGACCCAGATTATTCCCAACTCATTAATAGTAGGGAACTTCAATACCCCACTGTCTCCATTAGCTAGGTCAAGAGGGCAGAGAATTAACAGAGAGACATC